CTCACCTGATTTGGTTGGATTCCTTCTGGCTGCGCTTCTTCTTGCAACAGCGGACAAGACAGACAATGAGACAGATGAGCAACACCAGGAAAAGCAGCGAGCCCAGCACAGCCCCCACGATGATGGTCAGAAGGGGAGAATCTGGAGGAAGAGGAGGAGGAGAGAGAGAGGAAGGTGAGGACACCCGAAGTGAGGTGCTATTGGCTGGAAGGAGCTGGCTTGTGCCAAGGATCTTGACCACGGATCATGGTGAAAGATGCTGGCTAGATTTCCTAACTTAGCTGGGATCCGGATATTTTTCTAGAGAATGTGGTGGTGGTTTCCTCGTGTCTGAAGACTTCCACTCCTCCCTTCCTTCCTCCCCTCCCTCCCTCCATTTTCACCTCTCTCCTTCCTTCCTTCCTTCCTTCTTTCCTTCCTTTTTTCTTTTCTTCTTTTTCTTTCCTTCCTTCCTTCCATTTTGCTTTTCCTTCCTTCTCTCTTTTCTTTCCTTCTTCCTTTCCTTCCTCCCCTTTCCTCCTCCCTCTTCACCTCTCTCCTTCCTTCCTTCTTTCCTTCCTTTTCTCTTTTCCTCTTTTTCTTTCCTTCCTTCCTTCCATTTTGCTTTTCCTTCCTCCTCTCTTTTCTTTCCTTCTTCCTTTCCTTCCTTCCCCTTCCTCCTCCCTCTTCCCCTCTCTCCTTCCTTCTCCTTTCTTCTTGCCTTTTTTCTTTTCCTTCTTTTTCTTTCCTTTTCTTCCATTTTGCTTTCCCTTCCTTCTCTCTTTTCCTTCCTTTTCTTCTTCCTTCTTTCTTTCCCTTCTTTCTTTCCTTCTCCCTCCTCACTTCTCTCCTTCCTTCTCCTTCCTTCCTTTTCTTTCTGATTTCCTTCTTTTTCTTCCCTTCCTTCCATTTTGCTTTTCTTTCCTTCTCTCTTTTCTTTTCTTTTCTTTTCTTTTCTTCTTTCCTTCCTTCTTTTCTTCCTTCCTCCCTCAAGCCTGGGGCTTGAGAAATAAATAGCAAATGGCTTTTCACTTACCATGCGAGACCTCTAATGTGCATCGAGCTGACCCGACTTTGTTGGAGACGATGCATTGGTAAATCCCAAAATGGTTAGGTGATACATTGCGAATGACCAGATCTCCAGGACTGGAACCTTCCAAGGAGAGAAAAGCCAGGAAAGATATAAGAGTATGTCTGTCTGTCTGTCTATCCATTCTATCCTCTATTCATTCATCCTTCCATCTATCAAACAACCTATCTGTTTTATCTCTTCATCCATCTATCCATCTATCCATCCATCCATCTATCCATCTATCTATCCATCCATCATCTATCCATCTATCCATCTATCCATCCATCCATCATCTATCCATCTATCCATCTATCCATCCATCCATCCATCCATCATCTATTGCATCATCCACTTATTCATCCACATATCAGTCCATCCATTCAGCCATCAACAATTCACCCATCCATTCATCCCTCTCTCCATCCATCTATCCCAGAAGTTCCCTTTATATTTTGCCTCTCCTTCTCTTAAAAAAAAAAAATTTATTCCATTTTAGACACCATCCCAACTCCAAACTGACTCTGTGTAGTACACAATAAAACCAAACCCAAAATATAAGGAAACGATGAAGGAAAAGGAATAAAGAACCAGAACCGGCGGCAAATATTATTTCTCCTTTAATCACCAATTGGCTCTCCTCAGCCCGCTTATTCTCTCACCTGTCGCCCTTTAGATGGGTGTTAAAGCACAATTTCATGTTCAGACCAGGTGCAGGTGGGAATTGGAGTCCAGCACATCCCAGAGCACCCAGGGATTTTATACGTATGCATGGAGAGTTTTCAACAAATCAGTTTCGTCGTGTGTTTTTTCTCTCGCCCCTGGGCTTTTTTCCTCTCCCTCCCTTTCCAAGGAGACTTCTGGCACCCCGTCACACCAAGTTTTGGGGCGCTCCTTCAGTTTAACCTTACCTGCCATGGTATTTTCAGGCAGCTCACTCTCGAGGGGGTAATCTGCCATTTTGGTCCAGCGGTACATGAGGGGAGGAGTGCCGGCTTGAGAGGCGCAACGGAGGGTGATTTCGTTGCCGAGGAAAACCTTGCCCGAGATGGAACAATGCGGCGTCGAGGGTTTCTCTGGAAGAAGGACGAAAAACAGGGTGTCACTTAGCAAAAGGATTGTCAGCCTCGCTGGGTAAACCAGACGGGAGTCCCAACTGGTTGAGCTAATTCTGAGTTTGTGGTAAGGCTACATTGGAAGAACCTTGTAAGTCTGAAAGGACAATTCTTCTGCCGTCTCCTTTACAGCCTGAGAAACGAGGGCGAATCCCTTGTGAGCCTCTCACCCTGCCTGTTATACATCTAAGGGCCATGCTGTCTCTTCTCGGACTGTTCCTGGGCAGGTTCTCTTTGCTCCATCTCCCAAGGTCTTTCTCACATACCTGCACACTCTGAACTCTTTCCCTAGATCTAGATTCTCTCCCCCCTCCTTTACTGCCTGATAAACTAGGGAGGGTCTCTAGTGAGCCT